TGGCGGGCGTTCGTGCTGTCAGTTTCTTTGCAGATTGTCTGACTGAGTACTGGAGGTGTAGACATCTCAGAACGCTAGACATAGGCCAGCACTAAGTCCCCTCCCTCACCCACTCTTTTTCTGTTCTTTTCACCCCAGGGCTTTTAATATAATTGGATATGTATAAAGTATACGGCAGTGAAGCATCAATCCCAACACTGATATTGCTGTCTTTGATGATGATGATGATGGAGAGCTTCTGTGCAATCAGATTGGGGTTTCAGGTGTTCGGGAAAAATGCGAAGATTGTCATCATGGCTTCATAGATTTCTACCGACTAACCTGCATTTCCACCTCAATGTGGTTGTGGACACCTCAACTATCTGGCTGTTCAATCTCTACACGGCATGTGGCCGTTGCTGCGACTAGTCTGAACTCCAGTTTAGAACGAGTGTGGGCACTATCGTAAATCGAACAAAGCGATCTCTCCGGATGCAGACTGTATCAACCGCCAGTGGAGAAGCATTCGTGCGCTCCTGAGAGTGGTCCTTTTGTACAATCGCAACGGAGGAAGGATTATCGGAATATTAGTGAAGTATTCTCTTCTTGGATACTCCTCGGTTGGATCCACAAACTACGGTGCGTTCTCTTTGGGAGAGTCCAGTACGTTGTTCGTCGAATTACTCTAGGACATTCATTCGTGTGCTTCTCGTGCCCGTTAGTCCGTTGAATGCGTACCAACGGTCGTCAAGGTGACTTTTCCTTTCGAACCTTTGAAGCACTTCAGTTGAATTTGCAATTTCAAAACATGGTTATTGCCTGAATTGGTAGGGTTGTGTGTGAGGCTTGGGACAACTGAGCGCTGGACGTATACCAATAGTCTGGAGATCCGTGGTTCGAACCCAGGCTATCTTCATTCTTCCGTCCAAATGAGTGGCACCGGGTAAATGCCAGATCTGATTTTTTGCTAGAAGCTGTTACGAGTTACTATTGCTCTAGCACCGATTACCTCAGTTGCAGATACAGCAGTTTTCACCATCTTTTCCCACCCATCTTTTCACACTCAACTAGATTTGTGGTTCGAATCGATTCTTGGGATGCTGGATCCAATTATCCACATGGCCATTTCGTTCATTCTCTCGGACCCATAGGAGATTTGGAGACAGAAACACAGACGCTTTTAATCGAACACAACTTGCCTGTTCGTGCGTTTTCCGATGCTCAGGTATGTGCAATCCCTCCGGCCGTAACCGCACTGACTGACCCATTGATGTGGTTTTCTCATCTTAGCTTGTGTCCCAGATTTGCTGGGAATTTCAGTCAACTCTAGATTGTTCACGTTCTACGCACAGGTCAAAGGTACGGTTGTGGACCCGCAGCTCATTAGATAGGGCTCTGCGGCAGCCTACACGGGGATCATGGATAGACTTAACAATGTCTCATTAGACATTCCTTTCGACTTAAGGCGCGCAGCAAATCAGCCAAGTCAGAACGCTGTGGATTTCGTAGCGAGCCATTGCTGATGCAGTCGTGGACGAACCGAACAATGAGGAAGCTTTGCCTTGCGAAGCGAGTAAGCAAACCAGAGGAAATCTGTGGTATGGGCATTTTGGAGGACATCTTGAGCTCCAGCAGATCACCACAATCATTTGTCTCGTTGAAAATGCCGCGTTCGTGTTTGCTCGAGGCAGCTTGCCTCGTAAAATCATGCTTCGTTTGGAGAAGCTCGAGTTATCTGGTGGATTTTTATCCAATTTCCGCTTCTTTCTGTCCTCTCGTGGGTAAACTCCTAGCGTTCAATGCTGTTCCCCCATTCGGTAGCCAAGAGGCGCTTTCCTCATTGAGCACGGATCCGGAGTTGAGCGACAATTTGCTTAGAATGTCACCAACTTCCTATTTTCCTCTTTAGCTTTTGGCCGATTGATTTGGACGTATCATCCCGTTTTTCCAGTCGGCTGAAGGTAGACGTCTTTGTAGCAAACCTCACAGCCGAACAGGTGCTTATCACGGTCTTTTTAGTTAGCATTTGAGCGACAAGTCTGAGTTCTGTGCAAAAATTCTTTGAAGGATCTCGCCTACCCCTATTGCAATGGGACGCGAGGCTTCTCACGGGAATCACGACCTTAATAAGCCAGCTTTCCCCAAAGAGCGATGGTCATCATCGACAACATTACATCAGTGTTCAACACCGATGCTTCGCTACCGTACTACGGATTCAGAAGGCGGAAGTAATGTTCAGGGTCACCTCAGCTATCACTAGCTGAGACGACGTCAAGCGAATTACAGGCTCATCTAATAACTGGGCAGCTGCAATGCGTTTCATTACCCGATCCACCACTTTCTTGCCCGAACAACTTTTGAACACGGATTTGGGGAAGAAAGGTAGTTATCCCGTGTGTGTGTGTGTGCGTGGAGGGGATGGGCGAGTTCTTCTGACGCCGGCAAATTTCCAATCTGATTTATTGGGGAGTAGTGGTCAGTACAATTGAATGAGACTAATCATGTTTTGTGTACTAACTCTTGGACACCAAAGTGTAAGAAGCCAATTCAAGTTAATATCAGTAAATAATGATGAGTAACCTCGCAATTAGGACGAGTGATATCCCAATTCCTGTTGAATTGATGGTTAAATGCTGAGTGCAAGCTGCAGCCCTCAAGTGAACCATCCAAAACACGGTAGAAAGACCACACTGGCTCCCGTCGATAGTTAATAATAACATCTGTTAGTCTATTTGTAGTGTTTCAAATCTCCATAGTCACCTGCCATCATATTCGTTATTTGAAGTGCTTTCACTGTTCGGTCTGCAGTAAAGTTCCCAGCCCATGGCTCCTTTGTGAGACTCGTCTGCTTACGAGAACGAATGATGCGGTGCTCAGCTTAGTGTGGTTCCTGGGCTTTCTCGGGCACCTCGCCTTTTCTCCTGTAGTCTTCCAGGATTTCCAGTGTAAGCCCCCCGTTTACTGTTTCTGTGGACGATGAAGGGCTACCAGTACACCCACAAACAGTCAGTTTGCCCGAAAAAATCACCCGGTATTCACCACATGTCTAAACGCCCCCAGACTGCCATTATAACACGCATAGAAGCGTCTATTCATGCTATTTGCTTGCTCTTGGTTTCAGCCAGGCTCATCTGATATTGCCAACTGCTAATACACCTTTCTATTTCAGCTTCGTGAACTGTCTCCTTATAGTGTTCAAAGACCGTGGAAAGTGGACCCAGCCGAAGTCGCGCGCCGTCGTGATCTTCGATCTCCCGCCGTATCAGGAAATCCCGCATCCGAAGATGTTCTCATTTTCAGTATTGATCCACAAGGCTGCCAGGATGTGGACGACACTTTGTCTGTTCGCTGGCTCGATCCGATAGTTATGGAGGACGGTAGCACACATCGCCGCTTGCAGTTGGGTGTCCACATAGCTGACGTGACCTTTTTTGTTCCCCCTGGTGGATTTGTGGATGCCGAGGCTCGGCGACGTACAACAAGCGTGTATCTGGCCGATCGTCGTTACGATATGCTGCCCGGTTTGCTAAGCGGTGATTTGTGTTCATTATGGAGTGGAGTGGATCGGTACGTCTTTCGGTGACCGCGTGAACCAACGCTGCTGTTTTGTACGGCTTTGGGTGCACAACAGTCAATGTACCTTACTGAAGTATACAGGTGCATTCAAAAGTAGAATTTCCTTTGCTAGAGCCTATTTCGATGTGAGCCATGTGACACCGCAGCTGGCGAGCTCGCACTCCGACCCATACTGTCACAAGTACCTGATGACTGCCACAGATGTGGGCTACTTTGTTCTTTTTTTCTAGTTCAAATGTTCCCCCTTACGATTAGCTTGTGACGGAGGGCTGAGATGTGGAATATTCCGGACCTTATTGGTCGTTTAATACTGCCCGGCGGATACTCTAAATCAGGACGCTCTGAATGGTATTGATCCATTATATGGTATCCGTTCCTTGCATGTGATCGGTTCATCGGTTGTTTTCCTTCGTTGTTGTCAGATCACAGGAAAGGGGGTTTAAGACAAGCGGCATCGAGCCTCAGGCATGTTGATCCGAATCAGATGAATGTTTCTGTTTTGTGCAACCGTGATGCACTCTCAGTTTTGGCCTACGGAATCAGCTAGTCAGTTGTCAGTGTCCATACAGAGATAGCGCAAGTGGATAGAGCGCGAATTTACTGACCGGAAGGTCCGTGGTTCGAACCCGACCTCTGCCTATCGACTCCTCTGTCTAGGCTTGGGTAACCTGGCGGTATCCCCTCCCTCGTGCTTTCTTCGGGTGGCATGGCAGTTAGGCACCGCAAGGGTGCTACAGCTGAACGATGCAGACATTGAAGTACTTGACATCGCTGCTGTCCACCACTAGTAGACAGCAGGACGAGTATCATTGGAGGGGGTGATTCACATCCCACATGTGATTGGTAGCCAACTTTTGTTGCGCCCGTGAGAATGTCACACCGATCCATTTGTAGTAGCAATCTCAATCCGTTTTTAGATCTCATAGGATGCACACACGCGGAGCAGAAAAGGTCTTTTTTACTCAAAACTGAGTTTTTTACCGCTCTACAAAGGAGTAGATAACGTCGGAATCTCGTCAAGACCTGCTCAAAACTACGGTGAATGGACTCATGAAGGTCTTCAGCCGAAGTACTGGTGAACAACACTGATGTTGGTGAACTACACTAATTAGCGAATAGACTGGCTGCTAGTCCAGAAAATCATCCAGCTGTAGTACCCTTTCGGTGCCTAGGTGCCATGCCAACGGAAGGAGAGGGTACTGCGAGGTTGCTCAAGCCTAGACATCAGCAGGCGAGAGGCAAAGGTTGGGTTCGAACCGCGGACCTTCTGACCAGTAAGTTCGCCCGTTAACCGTTGAGTCATCTCGAGCTTTTGGTCAATATTATTGCTCGGAATGCAGTAGTCACTGATCTGGCGTTACCAGTTAAGCTGATCAATCCCACTACTCGTGTTTTAATAGCCTTATATGGTTCAGCTAGGGAATCAGGTCGATGGAGATTCGCGGGAGATCCACAAGCAGAATGACACCGGTAGTGGGCTCTCCAGAGTTTCCATCGCCCCCATGAATAGTGTTTACACGGTAAACTTCTCACCCGTCGATTCCCGACTTTTGTCTCCCCATGATTCATCAGCGTAATTACTTGTGGCGGGCATTAGTATAACTATGTCCACACCGCTTTTTCATCCAGTTACGCCGTCAGTGTATTATGGGAACTCGACATGGATTCATTCGATGTATTGGACGTGTGGTACGGGCGAACCGTAATCCGTTCCGCCTACAAACTCACCTACGAGGTCGCCCAACAGATCTACGACACACCAGCGACGAAGAATGACACAGCTGCCGGAACATCTCACGCCGAACAATTGCTTGCAAAGATGGGCGGCTCGGAGAAGTTGGGTGAGCTGATCCCGGAACTCAAAGGATTAAAGAAGGTTAGCTTCATGCTTACTGTAATCCACCAGCGGATTGTTGTTTCAACAGGGGATTTCACAAACACGAAGACGCAGTCAGTTTGTCTTGAACAGTTTTGAGATATTTTTGTAGTGACAAAGGTCAGAGCTACAGTTCCTTCGCCGTTCTATATTCTCACGATAAGACCACTTTACAGAACCCTTCTGGTCATCTCTTTGTGTCCTTGCGCAACACGGAATGCAGGTTCAGTGCAGTTTAGTTTGTCGACTGTAAGCCGGTACCAAATGTTCGTACTTCAGACTGCCACAGGTGCGTTCACCGAAACTTTATCAGGAAACGGTCGCAGATTCGATGCGATCACCCAACCTGTTCTAGGACACATTTCCTCGTTGTCTGAGGTTTTTTTTAAATAGTTTTGCTAGGGGTTGAGCAAGAGGTACACGATCAAACTGTGCCGCTGACCGCTAAAAAACCCCGGTTTGCATCTATGGAGACTCCGAATACTATCGTCTTTGTGGGGGTTGCGGGATGTGTATTGTTCACATTCACATCACTCTCGCTCACATCACTCTCGTTTGAAAAGTTGTTTTCCTGTCCTGGCGCAATTATTCTGGCGAATCCACACCAAACGGGTGGGGGGAAGCACTGGGCTCTAGTTTCGCTCTTATTAGAGTTCATCAGCAGTGCAAATCCAATGGCCGTGCCGGGGTTTGAACTCCGGAGTTGTCGGGCATACCAATTACATCGCTCAAGCGTGAACACGTTCACCCGTTCCGATGCATCCAACGTGCGCTGTTGGAATAGTGGTAACACGTTCGCCTCGCATGTCAAGTGTCCGGAGTTCAAACCCTGGCACGGCCATTGGATATGCACTGCTGATTAACTCCAATGAGAGCGAAACTCGAATCCAGTGCTTCTCCACCGTTTGGTGTGGATTCACTGGAATAATTGTTCCAGGACAAGAGAGTGATGTGAATATGAACTATCGTCTTTAGACATCCGATTTGCAGGGGTACCAGATGCAGGCATCACTCAACCGAAGGTTCATACGATTGATTTGATATGTCGATTTCCGATAAGCGATTTGTGAAACAGTTACGAATGGTAGCATACGTAAATGAATGAAAGGCGGTAGAAACGACTTGCCTATTTTCGTCGGCAATACGCTTCGTCAGCGCCTAGCGGTTTTCTAAACTCCCACGTATAACCTGGTAAAAACTCTAACTATTTTCGATACTCGTGGTTGTGATGCTCATGGTTCTTGAGAGGCTTTTTGTTGTCGTCCCTGGCCCATTTTGTACACTTTGGCATTTTAATGTGTTTACATCCACGTTGTGCTCCTTCTTCGAAGCCAACCTTATGGAAAGCATCCAGGACCGTTAGCTTCTATTGCCATGTGTCACGCACGCCGAAACGTCGTCTACCGAGGCGATTCACGTTGTTCCTCCTTCAGAAGAGCGAGGTGGACAATGTATACCCGGCAGATATGTGTGAAAGAGAGTATGAGGAGTTTGGTGTGGTCCACCTTCCATGATGGGATCCTCTCCCCACCTGCGGTTGGCTGAAGACATTGCAATAAGTGGCAGCTAATCGATATCAATGGCGTTCCTTCTTTCCAGATTGTCGGACTGAGCGCTTGGGCGTGTAGGCATCTCAGAATGCCTTCGATAGACTAGCACCATGTCCCTCTGTCACCCATTCTTTTCTCTTCTTTTCCTCTAGTGTGGTTGTACGGCAGTGAATTATCAGTGTCTACACTGATGTTGCTAGATCTTCGATGGCGATGATGATGAACCCCTTACACCCACAAGTGGCTTCAGCGGTTTACTGCTACTTAGACGGTTGTTCTTGCCTAATTCCCACCCCGTCGCTAATACGTTGGGTTATTTCATTGAATTTCTACCAAAACAGTGTTTCATTTTCGTCTAAACAGGATCGTCAGCTAGCGGAATTGGTGAAGCTGGAATCGGCGATTCGCCTGCTTGTGGATGTCGCCTCAACTGTTCGAACTCGTCGTGTGGCTCGCGGTGGTCTGGAATTGGATAGCATTGAGATTGGTGTGAGATTTGCCAATCCGGAGACACGCAGTGGAAAGTTGGAAGATTTGGTCCCCAAAGAGGTAAGTCATATTTCAGCAGGATGTTCACAATACTCAGTGTCTATTCATTGAGTTGCCATCTATTTGTCACCCAGGCATGAAGCAATTTTTCAGCTTTCCGTCGCGAAACATTGGTAGGTTCGTGGTCACCCACAGTCCAGTCCTCTTGGAAACTTCCGGTGAATCGATTGATCGAACGGAACTGAACACCAAGTGAAGTCACATGATGGGGCAGGATGGCTCAGTGGTTAGAGCGCGAATCTACTAACCGCAAGATCAGCGGTTCGAACCTGCCCTCTGCCTCTCGACGTCCTCTGTCTAGGCTTGGGTAACCTGGCCGTATCTCAGTCCTCGTGCTTCCTTCTGATGGCATAGCAGTTAGGCACCGAAAGGGCGCTACAGCTGGACGATATATAAAGGCGCGTGATTAGAGATAGGACATGGGTTCGGAATTTCAACACCAAAAGCCATGTGGCGTGTTGGCCTTAGCTTGTAGTGTTTGCTTCACCATCGTTTGCGCATAACTGTCTCATGGTTCTATGTTCCCATGCTTGTCTGTTTCCGCTGCTTGTTCTCCGTTTTTGTTCGAGTACTGATGACAGTTTGGAACTCTAAGTAGCACGTGTGAAGTTGTTGGCATCCGTGCTGCTTGCTGCAGTGATTCATAGGATAGAATGCTGGGACATCATCTCCGATCTACCTGGGAGGGTTATTTCAATCACTGAAACTTTGAAGACTGTTCCCCCCAGAATTTTACAGGTAATATTCTCTTATCTTATCCAGCCGTTAGAAATGCATGGAACCGTCGCAGAACTGATGATATTCGCAAACCACTGGGTTGCACGCCGCTGTCTCGAAACCTATCCGGATAGGTCTTGTCTCCGGCGCCATCCACCTCCACGACCGGAGTTCTTTGATGAACTGCAACGATGTGCCGCCTCTCGCGGGTTTCAGCTGGATATCGAATCCAATCGTTCTTTGGGTGCATCGCTTGCCAAGGCCGATGATCCTAATGATCCAGAGGTACGTTCTACTACTGTTGTTTGTCTGCATCACTCCAAGTGTGATTGTTCCTGGATTATTTCGTTCTCACCACTGATTTTTGTACAGTAGTTTGTCCATGTGGATGGTATAAATAGTATGTGTACATGTGAAGAGTAGTTTCCGTTTGGGGGCGTCTCGTTTCAAAACGTTTGTGCAGCATACTGCACGTGGGTGAGATGACAGTTCATGGTTTCGACTCGATTGTTTACGGAAGATGCACTGCCGTCTAGCCCAGATGAGTGACAGTACTCTTACCCCTATGCTTCCTACGTGTTCTGTATTGGTGTGACACAATTGTCTTATTTTCATCGGCGCAGACAGTGTTCGCTATCCAGTAAAGACATCCATTCAGGTCATGCCATGGAACATGTGTAACTTACCATCAGTTCCAACTGTGATATGATCACGTTAGTTGTACAAACCCATTTCAGACCAGATGCGGACATTGATATATAAACTGCGTTGGCTGCCTAAATCAACATCTGATGTGGACACGTGTTCAAATATAGGATGCTCCACTGCGACTCTAGGTAAGAGAACATGAGCTGGAGTGCTGAGATCGATCGATCTCCGAGTTACGCAGCTTCCGATCCAACCTGGATCGGAATGAATGAATGAATGATAGAGTGATTCCTGACTTTTGGGGGCTCAAATGTTAGTTTCACGAGTGAACGTGTCCCTGTTCGGAGATGGACAGTGGGGAATCCTGAAGCACTGACCGTAGAGACCTTCCTTTTTCAATTTTTAGGTTAAACGGGTCCTACTGCAGCTGACTACGAGAGCGATGACCAATGCGTTGTATTTCTCCACCGGTGTGGACAATCTGACTCGTGAGCAGTTCGCGCACTATGGTCTAGCATTGAACTTGTACACACATTTCACCTCACCGATCCGTCGCTACGCTGATGTGCTTGTAAGTAGTGCGTTACATCTTTTCAAGCAGTTTTGTATTTGCTTGTTTTTTTATAATTCTTTTATCCCCATGTCTTAGGCGCAATATTGTTTTAGTTTATCTTGACTTGCTATAACATCGATTGAAGCGGTCTGTGTATTCTTAAACCTTTGCTCAAATGCAGCCTGCGTAGATGCTCATGGTTTGACCTTCCCTTTCAGGGTTAATCTAAGACGAACCACTTCTCTTCGCCCATTGCTTTATCACCTCGGGTTTGCATGCGCGGTGCAGGTGCTCACTTGTATAGAGCCCGTTGTAACATGAAGGTCGAGAAACGGGTGGCAGACCACTGTCTCCTGAAGGCCGAACAACGTTTTATTTATCCGGCCATTAGACTCGATAAATCACAGCTTCGATTACTTGTATACCAGTAACGTCCTGAAAAGGTAGTAGGTTATTATGTCCAGAGCACTGTGCCCGGCTGTATAATGACCAGACTAACATTGTTCACCGCGCGTGACTGTCCCCCGGAGGCGTGCGTGAGTGCTTTTTTTCGCTTAATTACGCACTACTAATTCCCCTTCCAGTAATGTATCCTTATCCGAAAAGCATGAGCCACCAAGTGGCTGGGGCACGAATTTACAGACTGGACTGTCCGTGTTTCAAAACCAACCCCGATATCTTGGCTGTTGCTGTATAGGTTTGGGCGATCTGGAACCTGGACAACCAGCGTGCTTCCTTCGGATTGCACAGTGGCTAGACTATTCCGAGGACACCTACATTAGTAGTGCAGGAGGTGAATTTACAGACATGATTCTGCAGCGTCCTATTGGTTGCTATGTTTATGAGCATCTTTGACACTGCGTTTGTCTGAAAGCCATCTGATAGAAATTCCAGTTGTGCGTGATTTGTTTTGGGCGCAAGACTGCGTTATGTTTCTGTCAGGCTTCTCGATGGGCTCTGTCCGTAATTTGATTTTATTTCGGACTGTGCTAAGTCAGCCATCAAGCACATTTGTGCAAAAAATAGCAAGGAGCGCCCGAAATCGACTGGGCTCCGTTGGTCTCTGTTTGATTGCTTTTCTCGTTCCTTCCGTGTTAGAGGCCCTTATCTTCGAAGCAATTTCATGTGGCTTCGTGTACCATTGAGTCGATTATGGTATAGTTTTTCCGTCTGACTCCTTGGCTTGTTGTTGCCTTCACACACCCCTCCTACAGGTTCACCGCGTACTTCTAACAGCACTGGGAGATTGTCGTTCGGCAATATCCGGCCGGCCAGATGAAGTTCTGGGCCGCAGTGCTAAGCCCCCTCAGTTGAACCCCACGGTGTTTGGTCCAGAACATCTGATGCCGTCGGAAGAGCTCTCAGAGATTTGTCAGCACATGAACGAGCAGCATTGGGCTGCTCAACAAGTGCAACGAGCTAGCGTGGAACTGTTTCAAGCGCTGTTCTTTAAAGACCGAGCAGAAAATGATCCGATCCGAATTGCAGATGGAATCATTTGCCAGCTCCGAGGCAACAATGGATTCGTTGTTTTGGTTTCTCGGTGAGATCTCTTTTTCTCGTTGTTTACATGATCATGTAGACTACAGATAGGCAATTGCACATAGGGGCTTTACAAGACAGGCCGCCAGACCCTTTTCTTTTTTCGCGCGATACTGCACATTGCATTTGCCGTTGGCTTTGTGGAGAGATTGTCTTCTTCGGTGTCCGAGAGCACGCTTTCAATTCCAGAGTATAGGGAAAGTTCGAGGATCTTGGGTGGCTGGTTTCGTGGGTTTGAGTGCCTCGTGCGATTCTCCACGATCAGCAGTTTCCAACCGGACCCGGGCAACCTTCCAGTTTGTTTGTACACCTACATTGTACTCCTCGTTCATGCTGGTTTCCATGCAGGTGCCATTTCTGTCTGTCTGTCTGTCTGTCTGTCTGTCTGTCCGTCCGTCCGTCTGTCTGTCTTTGCTGTCGATTCTTTGTTTTCAAGCTTATCATCTGTCAAGACGTTTCATCCCTGCACACATCAAGCGATTGTGATCAGCATTTTCTGACAAAGTATACCCATAGTCCTCTTCCAAAGGCAGCACTGCAGAACGACAGTGCATAATTCTGTCTAGTAATATCTGTTTATCCCTTGGTACGCTTTTCAGAGCTCCACGACTTTTCTCCTCATTAGCTTATAACCGGTGACTGACCGATAGACCAGGTGTTCATCTGGGACAGTTCCGGTGCATAGCTGCCGTGAACTTTGGGTCGAACACGAGGGCTGAAATGTGTGACCAACTGAAATATTGGTAGATGATTCGCGCCTTGACTACGGAGCTGTGTGACCCAAATGCACTACTCATCCATAATTTTCAATGGAGATTCCGTCCGGTTAGTGAATAGCTGGGAGGCACTGAACAGCTGTTTCGTCTTTGTTAGGAATCTTCACAAAGCTCAGAGGGTTTCGAACTCGTGACCTTTCGAACAGTGATTGAAATAATTGACTGTTTGGCCACGAGTGTCTGATCAACAGCTCTCACTGAGTCAGCGCCAGTAATCATTCAATAAAGAAAAGCGTATCGCGTGGTCGCGTGCTGACTGGATCCTCGATTGACTTTTCTGAACGACGCTTCACACATCCAGCGGCACCACCCTTCCCCTGTGCTTCTTATTTGTTTCATAATAATGAAGAAAATTTGATATTGCACCATACTGTCAGTAGTGATTCGGACGCCCGTCCAAACTCCATCCACGAAAAACTGTTCAGTGTCTGGTTTTATCAAAATAGGCGTTACTATCTTGCACCCTTCCTCTCTAACGTGTTTTCCAATTTCTCCTGTGTTGCTGGTTAAGTTTATTCCACTGTAAGACAATTGTCTTCTGGTTGTGCGAAAGATGGCCTCTGCAGATGATGTGAGGCATCTTCACGTTTTTGACCATCGATGTCTCAGAAGCTTGGCTATTTTTGGATGGCGTCAGCGTGTTAGTAACGAGGTGATTAGAAAACGGGTATTTGGTTGTGCTGCAGGCACCTCAATCCGAGAAAACATCCAGCATCATCGACTACGATGGCTCGGTCATGTGCTACGCATGCCGAGACGAGTGTTGTTGTCCGTGCCTACTTCAGGATGGCGCAAACCGCGAGATGAACAGCACATGACTTGGAAGAAGGAGGTGAAAGAGATCACGAAGAGTTTGGGTGTTGTTGGTGTTGTATGCCTTCCAGGATGGGATCCCCGTGACCGCTCCTTTGCTTGGCTGGAGATGGCTTGGGCGAGATGGCTCAAGTGGTTAGAGCGCGAATTTACTGACCGGAAGGTCCGTGGTTCGAACCCGACCTCCGCCACTCGACTTCCCCTGTCTAGGCTTGGGCAACCTGATAGTATCCCAGTCCCCGTGCTTCCTTCGGGTGGCATGGCAGCTAGGCACCGAAAGGGCGCTACAGCTGAACGATTGGCTGGAGACATTCCAAGAAATGGCGGCTAATCGACGTCAGTGGAATTCGTTCTTTCAGTTTCTTTCCAAATTGTCTGATGAAGCAGTTGGTGGTTTAAACATCTCAGAATGCTTGACATAGGTGAGCGCTAGGTCCCCTCCACTCTAGGGCTTTCTATCAGGACGGTCATGTCCTGACGAACAATTCTACCCTTTGTAATAATTCACTGAGATTTCATTATCTATCTGTTGTAGCTGACTGAACCGCAGCGCTCTTTCTTCCATTGGTTCATCTGCAACATGGCTGATCCTCATTTGGTGTCTTTGTCTTCTTCCTTGTGGTTTTTCCACTCAAGTAACTAGTCTATCAACATTGCAGAATAAATCGCACCAAGTTCCTAAATCACTCACGTAGCACAACACAACAAACACTCCNTATATATGACTCGACGAATCTTATGATTATAAGCAGTGGAGCATCAGTGTCAACACTGATGTTGCTGTCTCTGATGGTGATGATGATGCCTCCTGGCAGATACCTTTTGTTGGAATATCTCTTGGACATTTTCAACCTCGTACTGGCGCTTTTGTGGTTCGAATAGCCTACATACCGACTCAACACTAATCCGCTACACACTGATGATATCAGCCCGATTGGTGACCGGGTGTTCGCAACCGAATTGCCTGGTTCAGTGACCAGACCAACAGCCATGGCATGTGAATAGTTGCACTCGTTTACTCTACACTCCTTACTCGTTATTTGTATTCAATGTCCGGATTTGTTAAATCCTTTTCAACTTGACCTCCATTTTCTACCTATTTTCTTTCAGCTACGGCGTCCGTGGAGCCGTTTGTGTAAAGGACCACAAAGGTCAAGTTGCCTGGGTTTCGGACAATTCCAGGGTCACATGGATGCCGCCTGATAGTGGTTTCGAGGTGAGTTTCAGTGGTTTTCAATTTCCCCTACTTTCTATCCCGTCACGAAGAGACGACCTTATCATGATGTGACGGTTTGTGCACCTCAGCGATCCTTTGAGCTAGACACTGAGAGTGTCTGTGTCACTTCACAGAGTCTCTCATACCAGGTGGTCAATGGTTGCATTTCTCGCCAAACACCCCTGCCTTGCGGTTAAGCCCTTGAGCCAAAGACTACGGTTGGGGACCCGAATCACCCTCCTGTCTGGGTGTGGGCGCCCTGGCAGTATCCCAGCCCCCGTACAACTAGTACGGCAGTGAAGCATCGGTGTTGAACACTGATGTCATGCTGTCGATGATGATGGTGATGATCATGATATCCGTTGTGGATGGCGGCAAGTGTTGACTCAGCAGAACAACTCGTTGTCTGTTCCGATTTGCTTGTTCACGTACTAAGTAACCTTACAATAACCGCGTCCCTCATGGATCGCATGGTGATGCTGCTGGTGTCTGATTTCTTGCTGTCCCAAATTCAAAACTTCTTCAGATGGACTTAAGAACGGGACTTTATAATTAGTTCGCCCCCTCCCTTCACTGAACAAACCAAGGTGTGTCGACGTGCCGTCCCGTCCTACGACAGACACACGTTACAATTCCGTGCACCACGTACTTTAGCCTCGTCCGGATATATCAATCTTTACGTGCTCAAATGTAATTTGGTTAAATATCTGGGCATCACGATGTATCACCACCCCCTACAGACAAAACCTGTCGTATTCTTAATTTGAAAAGATTTTCCCTTTACTATGAGCCTCCCCTCACCCTCTTGCTCTAAAACATCGCAGATTCCGTCCTTCCCCCCCTGTTCATACTGCTATCCTGTTCCTTTGTCTCTGCTGAGAAAGAAACACCGTGTTCTCCTTGTCTGACTCATTAAGCACGTTTCTAAATGCTGTGGACGCGTCTGCGACACATTCGTTGATTTTATCCTTATGAAGTAGTTTGATGCATTGAGAATATTGTTAGTTGTGTACGTCATGGTTGTACGAGTACTGGGATACTGCCAGGACAGAGGATGTGGGGTTCTTCGGGTTTTCGACTACCGATGCCTCAGGAGCGTGGCTGGTTTTGGATGGTGTCAGGGGGTTAGTAACGAGGTGGTTAGAAAACAGGTATTTGGTTGTACTGCAGGCACCTCAATCCGAGAAAACATCCAGCGTCGTCGACTGCGATGGCTCAGTCATGTGCTACGCATGCCGAAGCACCGTCTGTCGAGACGAGTGTTGTTCTCCTTGCCTCCTTCAGGATGGCGCAAACCGCGCCATCCACTTGGAAGAAGGACCTGAAAGAGATCACGAAGAGTTTGGGTGTTGTTGGTGTTGTACGCCTTCCAGGATGGGGTCCCCGTCTGAGCTTTGCTGGAGACGTTGGGAGCAATGGCGGCTAATCGATGTCAGTGGCGTTCGTGCTGTCACTTTTCCAGATTGGTTGTGCGGTTGGATGTGTAGGCACCTCAAAATGCTTGACATAGGCCAGCACTAGCTCCCCTCCCCCATATATATTTACGTATATATATATATATATATATATATATTAAACTGAACGAACCTCATGGTTGTACGGCAGTGAAGCATCAGTGATGTTGCTGTTTTTGATGATGATGATTTTGATGCATTTGGTTTGCTAGGGAAAGTGTTTTTCTTCTCTGTCACCTTTTTCAAAACTCTTTCAATACTTTCGTGAACCCGGCTACCGCCCATTTGTACTTCTTTATACGGAAATAGTGTAGTCCCCTATTCTACTTGGTCCTTAGCCCGAGATAGTTGAGTAGTTAAGGCGCGAACGGAATGACCGTGGTTCAGGGCGAACCTGAGCATCTCGACTGCTCTTCTCTAAACTTGGGCAGCCGTCAGTATCTCAGCCCTGCTTCAGGTGGCGTGGCAGTTAAGCACCGAAAGCGTTCTTCAGCTTAACTATTATTGGGTGAGGGGGGGGACATGAGATCTGTTCATGGCCTGGGGAATGACTGCTTCAGTAATCATCCCTTGTGAATCTCTCTTTTCTTGCTCTATATCTGTACGGACCTCAAGTTGGCGTTTGGTTGCTTGAGATGTGATCTCTAGGGGGCCTGCGTGACTATTAACCTGGTTACATTGCGCTGCCAACGTACCTCTGGCCTTAGTGACATTTTAGTTTTGAACGTGTATCCAGAGGGACTCGATCGACGAAGCGATTTTCTATTCTTACTGACTGCAGTTCCAACGCTTCCGGACGCATTGGTTTGCTTCATCATTCCTCGTCCTACAGCAAGATTCTGAAACAAACCCTTAGTAGTTTCTCCAGATTAAATCGAATAAGCATTCAGGTTAACGTCGCGGAAGAGCGTTCAAAAATGCCCTCACTCTAGTGTAAAGTCCACTAACTGTGCACCGATTTGTCTCCTCTGCTCCCGCTCTCGGTCGATTATCTTCAGGCTGACAAACGTTTTTCTTGTCCTTGTTCTTGTTCGTCACCCGCAAGCGTGAAGTCAGTCAGTTCACAAATCATGTGCGGCTGTAGAATACCCATGTAGACTTTTTGGGTGCATGTTTGTAATAGATCGCCAGTCGCCTTGCAAACTTGCGAGCGTTGCGTACGAGGGGGGAAGGATTGTATTGTATCGTATCGTATTGTATTGTTATTGTTATTGTATTGCATTGCATTGCATTGCATTGTGTTGTATTGTATTGCATTGCATTGTATTGTATTGTATTTATTGTATTGTGTTGTACTGTATTGTTGAACTGCATGCTTTGTTTAGGACTTACGGATAAGGATCACACAGAGTTGACCCACCTTCCTTTCGATCAATTTCGCATCGTACAAAAGACTGCGTGCTTATTTCATACGAGCCCCAAATCCACATAGTCATCTCGATTGCTTGTGTGTGTTAGAGACTTTCGCAGCCTGGGTGACCGACCTACCTCGTATTCACACGATGGTTTGCTTATCCACTACCGTTCCATCGGTCCAGTGTTTTGGTAAACAATAGTCGTGCTCGTTTGCGTTCTGGAAACCAAGCAGCCCTTATTGTTGCACCCCTGCGTGTACCGTTCTGATGGTCATTTTGACCATCCTTCCATCTGTCTGGGGCGAGACGGCTCAGTTGTTAGAGCGCGAATTCACTGACCGGAAGATCTGTGGTTCGAACTCGACCTCTGCCTCTCGACTTCGCCTGTCTAGGCTTGGGTAGTATCCAAGCCCTTGTGCTTCCTTCGGATGACATGACAGTTAGGCACCGAAAAAGTGCTACAGCTGAACGATTTTCCTCTAATTAGTACAATCCAGACAGCCTGGCAGGTGCTAGGCGGGGATATTTGCTCCAGCAGAGAAGAGGTTCGCCTGTGTGCGAAATCTTAGGTTCTATTGGAAGAGAGATTGATATTCACGTCCATTAGTTGTTCAGCTCATAAATCTTTGCAGTACAGTGCTCCCCTCTCACGAAACCGCCTTACTTCTTTCAGGGGGCTAGATGACCCAAGTGTTAAGAGCGCGAATCTACTGACCGGAAGGTCCGTGGTTCGAATCCGGTCTCCGCCCCTCGACTTCCCCTGTCTAGGCTTGGGTAACCTGGCAGTATCCCTGCCCTCGTGCAACCTTCGGGTGGCATGGCAGCTAGGCACCGGAAGGGTGCTACAGCTAAACGCTTTTTTTATTTACATAAGTTTTTGTGATATCCCAAAGCAACTAAACGAAGAGCTGAACTGCACAAAGCATTTGCTTTATTGTTGCGAGCAGTCAGTTGGGGGTACAGGGATCGGTTTGGAGGATAACCGGGCTTTTCAGGATCTGATCTTATTTTATCTGATTGAGATCTGGTTAAACAATTCCAACCCCGCATTTCATGTTGTTGGCAATCCCGTTCATACTGATGTTAGATTCTAATCTCGCTTTCGACAGAACGTGAGAACACAATGGAACGAGGATGATCATGAGTCTGTTGCATGACTTTTGTTGATTAGCGCAAGGTAGACGAATTATTTTTGTCACTGTTTCGTCCACATCCACATGGGCTAGACAAACTACGGCTTTTGTCTAGCTGAAAAACTCGGTTCCGAATGTAAACAAAAAGTCTGCTTTACTTGAGTCTTCTGTTGCATCGTTGACTGATGATCTTCATCAAATTTGGGTGGGGTAGGGTGGAAGACGCAAAAAACGTACAGCTGTAGCACCCTTTCGGTGCCTAACTGCCATGCCACCCGAAGGAAGCATGAGGGCTGGGATACTGCCAGGTTGTCCAAGCCCAGACAGGGGAAGTCGAGAGGCAGAGGTCGGGTTCGAACCACGGACCTTGCGGTCAGTAAATTCGCGCTCTAACCACCTGGGCAACTTCGCCCCTCATCCAACTAAGCCCGCTGATCACCCGTCAGAGAGATTTCCTCTCGCACTGGAGGACCCGCTTCGATCTCCGAGCAATGAGGTTACTATTCTTCGCAGCACAGTCACTGTACACTTTACTCCTATGTTCACAGATATCACCCTCAGGGGCGATCACTTTTGTTCCATCCCCTCTATGTACGGATCACTTTCTTTCAATCCGTCTAAGTGATTTTCCGGGACGATTGCACACCAAGGTTAACCATTAGGGAACTGTTCTTGTTGCCAACACGGTTCAGGTTCTATTTTCTTCAGGCTTTGTTTATTTGAAATGAACTGTTGATTTCCGGGACAAGGAGGCGCTTTTCAGTTCATTCAGTAACAAAATTTTGCTACTATTGGTTTTCCTTGACTGTTTTATAACCACCGACCGGAGAAGGAACTCATCTGGATATTCGCCAGTGCTGCATAAAAAAGCGCCTGGTGTCTTATCTTGTCCTCAACCAAAATAGTTCATTACACCATCCAGTATGACAAACGAGCCTTGTCACTTGCAAGTGAAGTTGCCATATTTCATCATACAAACTTTAGGTTTGTGATGTACTACTCATAAGGTTGCTGAAAGTCCGTCGACCAGGGACTTCGTCTACCTGATGAGCCCCAAAAAGGATGAAACCGGTCATGGGCTGTCGACGGATTTTCAGCAACCTTATGAGTAGTACATCACAAGTATATACATGTGTCGCGATATCTCGAGTATCGTAGCGATTGAAACATGAGGCGGCGTGATGCAGCGCATTCAGTTGCCTGGAAACATCACAAACCAGAGGTTCAGCTGGGTTCCAGGTGAGTCTCTCGGAAAATCAAATTAGTTTGAAAATGAGTGTATATTCCCTAACTTTAGGTTTGTTTAACAGTCTAGAAACACGCCACGGTGTCTTATCCTTGATGGAAAACGTAACCAGTGGAAATCTCAGGGATCTTGGTGGCGATCTGTACTCACAGCCTTTTCGGTTCCAGCAAGCACTACTTCTTTTTGCGACAGCAAGTTACTCGACAAGTTGAACAAGTTGCGTGTAGATAGAGGGCAGTACCACGCGTTTTTCAGTTCCTCTCTTCACTTTACCATAACCTGCCGACTATCTCTCCGGGAGACCTATAAAATAGTTTTTAACGAAGTATGGTCTCGTGTTTTCCATCATGATTGAGTTCTGTTCACACATTCTATCTCATCGTGCATCATTTTTCTCCAACCAACGCATGTTCTTTGCATACTTTTGGTTCATAGGTGAGTCGGGTCTACGCTGCTGATCGGGGTGACTGTGGACAGCTGGAAGTTCGTAACCCCAGTACTGGTGCTGTTCAATGCTATCGTGTATTTGATCACGTGACTGTAAGTATCGCCGTCTCTGATTCCATCGCGCACGGCCTTGGTCTTCGACTGCAACTACTCAGCGGACCGCGGTCGGCCACAGACGCGGTGGAAACAACATTGGCCAAAACTCCTTCCGTTCCAAGCGAGGAAGAACAGAAAGCCATCAAGGCGAACCTTATTGAGGTGGGTGAAACCCCCCTTTTTAGGGTCCCTTTTTGTGTCAGAATGAGCAGCGATTTCTTGACAAACACTGGCTGTCACCCAGAAGCAACACCATCTGGTGATGTGGTGACCTTCTTTGTTCTTATTTCGTTTCTGCCTGGACCTTTTCTGCTGCTCTTCTTTCCTTGCGTGCGTGTTTTTTTGGAGTGTCCTTTAACTCACGCCCAAACAATCCCTCAACACAACTATGATCATCACATAACAGCCAGCAACGTCAGTGTCGACACTGACGTTCTACTGGCGCACAACCACCAAGGTTTCCAATAATAGATAATCTTCCAGATGAAATTACTGTGTTTCATATCGCCTATCTCTCCACTGCCTATTTGTTTCACTGAGATGTGAGGAATGACTGGTCATAGTTTTGGTATGCTTTATGCTATCCTATTTCTGCAACTACACTCATTATATTCGCGCCGTGTATGTTCTTTCAAGGTTGAGGTGCGAACTCCGTGACCGGAAGGTCCGTGGTTCGAGACCAACCCCGGCATCTCAGCTATTTCCATCTAGGCTTGGGTAACATGATGGTATGTCAACCTTCGTGCTTCTCTTGGATGGCATGGCACCTAGGCACCAAAAGAGTGTTACCCGTGCACGAATAGTATTGATGATACTATTTTTGATATGTAATGTTTTCACATTTCAGTATCGTACATGTGCTACTAATCTCTCTATCCTGGATCCCATCTAGTCCGTTCAAACCAGTGATGCACAGCGTCGTCGAAAACGGGCTTTGGATGAGCAAGCAGCCCTAGACGATGAAATAGACTCGCTGGATCAAGCGTCTCTTATTGGTCGACTGCACGACCCAACTTCACTTCACCACCGATTTCATAAAATCTTGCGTCAATGTGCGCCGTCGAATTTGACAGACGAGAGTAGTTGATATCCGTTCAAATTGTACAAAGTTCCCCGTTCTGTTTCTACGTCAATTTTTGACTACGATTTTCATGAGTTCATTATTTTTTTCTTTGGGGGGGGGGGGG